ACATTATGCTGGCAACTTAATCCCAAATGTTCATGAAAAAAAAATTGTTTTGCACTGTACTTGCAACTTTTTTGAAGTCTGAAATTGTTCAAAAGAAAAATAATTAGAATCTCTAAGGGTAGGTCTGGGCATCAGTATTTTCAAAATGGCCTAGGTGATCCAGATGTGCAACCAAGGCTGGAATCTGTTGCTGTAGTTCATCATCATCATCATCATCATTATTTGGAAAAAAAAAAAAAGGTTACATACTTCTGCACGGAGTGCATGAACCATAATTTATTTCACCAAATCCTTCCCTCTTTTTCTTCAAAAATGATTCATGGAGGAGCATTTACGTGCTGGGCAAGACAGATTCTCTTCCCTATGAGTATTCAGTCTTCTGGGGAAATATATGTAAGCGAACAGACAATGTGCTGTGGTTAATAACAATATAATTGCTATCATTTGTTGAGCAATTACTCTGTGCAAGGCACCATGCTACCTGATAGGGCGGGCACTGCTATTATCTTCATTTATGGAATGAGGAAACCTAGCACGATGAAATGAGTGAGGAGTGCAGGGTGCAGGGCTGTGTCAGCTGTGGGCTATGCTGCTATGTGAGAGGGAAGCAAAACCCTATGAAAACACGGAAGGACCTTTGATACAGGCAGGGAGGATCAGGAAAGCCTTCTCAGAGGAGGGACCTTTGGACACGCACATTATTTCCGATTTCAATTGCCCCAAATACTCCTTCAATGAGCATCTGTGCAGGGAACTTTCTATTTTGTAGTCCTGCCCCCCCCACCCCCGGTTAGATTCTAAGAAGTAGAATTCTGGAACCCAGTGGAAAAACTCCGTGGCTTGCAAAACCTGTTGCCATGTAGCTGTCCTCAGCAATATGAGGGTACCTGTCTTGCTGAAGCCTCACCTTTCCGAATCCTTTGCCCTTAGTAAAAAACTAATATTTCTTTAATTCTTTAATTAAAGAATTTCTTTCAACTAGTTTTGCTATACACTTTGCCATTAATGCTTTCTTTACAGCTCAAATTTAAGATCTTTAGAGTTACTACCAATGAAGTATCCGGAACATTACCAGTGAAACAGCCTTATAAGATGTCTCATACCAGAGATACTGTCATTTATTCCTATAACCACAAAAATGGCTATGTCACAGTTCAGAGCCTCCGAATAAATCCGATTGCTATATTCACGTTAAGACTTCTACGGGCGCGTGTGTGGCTCAGTCGGTTAAGTGTCTGACTCTTGGTTTCGGCTCAGGTCATGATCTCACCGTTCATGGGTTTGATCCCCGTGTCGGGCTCTGGGCTGACAGCTCAGAGTCTGGAGCCTGCTTCAGATTCTGTGTCTCCCTCTCTCTGCCCCTCCCCAGCTTGCGCGCTCTCTTTCTCTCTCTCTCAAAATAAATAAACACTAAAAAAAAAAATGATCCCTGACCTTAAAACTTACTGTGAGCTCAATAAGGACAAGAGAAATGTCTTGTTTGACTCTGAAATCCCATTACAATGCCAGCAAGTAATACGTGCTGTAATCACTGGCTACAAAAATAAGTCCATAAAATAGATGGTAATAAAATATGAATTGAAACCATACCTTCTAAAATCTACACATATGACAATAAATAAACTCAGCTCAGGAAATATCACCTGAGGGAAAGATTAAGGAAAAGTAGCTTTTTTCCATTTCCCTGGCTCCCCACATAAACAGGGAGCCCATAATCCCAGGGTGCCAATGACAGTTCCAGTTTATGTCTTTTGTCCTAGCATCTTGTCTGAATGGAGCTGCCTTTCGGAAAGTTCCTGGATTAGGTAATCCATTTTATGGTCAACCTACATCTAAAGGGTGTTCTCTTAATGAGCAGGAGTATAAAGGGCTCCCCTGATCCAACAGCTTGTCTTTATGTCGCTCTGAATTTCGCTTTAGAGACCTATGAACAGATAACAATGTTGACTTCTAAGTGTTTTATAATACTTTATCATTTAAAGCCAAGTAACAATCTGCAATGGTTAATCCCTAACTAGGAGAACATCCCTTGGTTCTGTCAGCAGTCTTTGTTCCATTTTGCTGATAAAAGTGAGACATGGGAAGGAAAAGGGACTTATCCAAGATTACATCAAGTATGAATCACCAGGCTGCTGCAGCTATAACTTCGGTTTTTGATGAATTCTCTAAACCACGCTGTCATTAACACAATGAAATCTCCCAAGCAGTTAAGTTAGAAAGATTTTAGTCATTTAGTAAATGGCTTTGTAATAAATAAGTTTCATAAATTTCATAAAATAACACATTTCATAATTTAATAATATTTCAATTTCACTGAACAGTCTGTACTCAAACCTAGTCTATGGGTCCTAAACTCTCAGAAGGTAAAAGGACTATTTATAAAGTTGGCGAGGGGCGCCTGGGTGGCGCAGTCGGTTAAGCGTCCGACTTCAGCCAGGTCACGATCTCGCGGTCCGTGAGTTCGAGCCCCGCGTCAGGCTCTGGGCTGATGGCTCAGAGCCTGGAGCCTGTTTCCGATGCTGTGTCTCCCTCTCTCTCTGCCCCTCCCCCGTTCATGCTCTGTTTCTCTCTGTCCCAAAAATAAATAAAAAACGTTGAAAA